TTGCTCTTTTCATGTATGATGTTCTTGATGTCATCCCATAACTCTTCTGGTCTTCGGTCTTTAGTGTTTAATGCATCAAATCTGTTCTTCAGATGATTTCTAAATTCAGGTGGGAGACTTCATGGTACTTAACAAAAACAACAGCATGGACAAATTATGAAATGATGCAGAAAACATCAAAAGTAAATGGAAGGTATACATAGAATCACTGTACCAAAAAGAAATGGCCGATGTTCAGACATTTCAAGAGGTAGTATACGATCAAGAACCGATGGTACTGAACAAAGAAGTCCTAGCTACACTGAAAGCATTGGCAAAAAATAAGGCTCCAGGAATTGATAGAGCACAAATTGAAATCTCAACAAACTGATGCAGCACTGGAGATGCTCACTTATCTGTGCCAAGGAATTTGGAAGATAGTTACCTGAAAAATAAATTAGAAGAGATACATATTTATGTTCATTCTGCTGAGAGATAGACCAATGGAATGTTGAGATCATAAAAAAATAGCACTGATATTGTATGCAAGTAAAATTTTGCTGAAAATAATTTAAAAATTGTTGAAACAGCGTATTGACAGAGAACTGTAAGAATTCAAGCTGGATCAGGAAGATGATGTGGAAGTAGGCTTATCATTTTTGATGTCAGATGGATTTTGTCTGAAAGCAGAGAATACCAGAAAGATGTTTACTTGTACTTTATTAACTATGCAAAGGCTTTCAGCATTGTGAACCCTATAAATTATGAATAACATTGGGAAGAATGGATATTCCAGAACACTTCATGTGCTCGTGAGGAACCTGTAATAGACTAAGAAGCAGTTGGTAGAACCAAACAAGGAGACAATGAATGGTTTAACATCATGAAAGGTGTGTACCAGGGTTATATTCTTTCCCCCTATTTATTTAATCTGTATGCTGAGCAGATAATTGGAAACACTGGATTTTATGAAGAACATGGCATCTGGATTGGAGGAAAACTCATTAACAATCTGTGATATGCAGATGATATAACTGCTTGCTGGAAGCAAAGAGGACTTAAAATCCTTACCGATGAATATCAAAGACCACAGCCTTCAGTCTGTATTGCCCCTCAATGTAAAGAAAACAAAAGTCCTTACACCTGGACCAATAAATAATATCATGAGAAATGGATAAAAGACTGAAGTTGTCAAAGACTTCATTTTGTTTGCATCTGTAATCAACACTCATGCAAGCAGCAGTTAAGAAATAAAGCAACCTATTACATTAGGCAGATTTGTTGCACAAGAT